CAAACTCATCATCACTACTGTTTGGCCAAATTAAGGCAGATAAAAGAGATAAGTCACAGATTTGTTGTAAAAATAATTCTGCTGAGGTGTCTCTTTAATATAATAGGAAATGAAAATGAATTTTTGTTCAACATCTGCACATGAGTATTAAAAAACAAAATCAAAACATGGAGCAAATTGAAAGGATGGAATGGTGGTTGGGATAATTTCCTGTTCATTTTCATCTTTAAAAAAAAATAAAATAAAAGAAAGGTAGATTGGAGCTGTCTGATCTCTTCTCCTTGATGATTTATTCAGATGAAACAGTGTGGTACCGTAAGAGCTAAATAAAAATCAAAGGGGGAAGCGAGAACAGAAGAACTACAGATGACTTCATTTCAAAAAAGCCACACATCATCCGCCGAGAAATGGAAAGTCCCATTATTTATAACAACCCCCTCATCAATATACATTTACGCTGGGTGTTTGTGCCAGGTGTGCATGCATGTCAGCCTTTTTTTTAGTTTTTGTTTCATTTAATACGGTGCTGCTGCCTTTCACGTCTATAAATAGCTGTCTGGCTGGCTGTGATGGTGGACAGCTTCATTACAGACAATCCCAAGGACATCAGCTGATGGCTGACAGTTGCAACGGTGGGCTCAGCAAATGTCAAAATGGCCTCCAGACTGCAGCCCCCACCTTCTGTTGCGCTCTTTCAGTCGTGCACATGTAAAAGCTGAATTCTGCCCAAAGATCTAAACTTTACTTTGATCTTTAACACCTAAAGTTAGCTGGAACAACTATGCAGTGATTCACTGTGTGTGATGGGCATGCAGAAGGAATCTCTTCATGATCCAATGCTGATCATGTGACCCAGTACCAGTTGGTGTCAAAAGGTCTTTTAGTCAAAGCAGAGGGCACAAAGTGCTCCCTTTATCGCCTTAAAACCGGTGCACAGAAATCAATGCATCACTCTTGATCCGTGCTTCGGATGCAGTTTAGGGTTCCAGGGACTGAATGCAAGCATGGAGTATTTCTCATTTTAGTGACGGCTCCCCAAGGTCCGACATCAGAAAGCTGAAAGGTATTTATCACAAAAAAAGCTTGCTAAGCAAAAGAAAGGGTTGGAAATTGAGGAAACACAGCAAGCGGCTACCAGGAAAAGAGCCACTGGAATTAGCTTACCAGTAAATCCTCTCTAACTTTTGCATCCTTTTTGTTTTTTGTGTTAAACATGAAACATCCGCAATTTTTTTTTCTTTTTTTGAATAAACCCAAATTTTTTTTTATATCACATAAAGGAAACCTCAGTAAACACAAAATATAGCTGTGAAATGATATTCTCCTTCATAAAGGGAAGAAAAAAAATTTTTTTTCCTCCTGTTTAATTTTCTTTTGCAAAATTTTAACTTCACCTTTCACTTTTTCACTATTTTACGTAATATATCTATTACAAAAATGCATCTAAAAAAAAAGAGCCTTTCTGACAGCACGAAGTAGACTATATAACATTTATTACAAAGTTAATAAATGACTCATCCAGGAGAAAATGAAAGAAACCTCAGTTAAATATTGCTTCTGGTTAAAATTTAAGAAGAAAAATGAAAAAAAGAAACAAAATTTGCCCACAAAGGAATCAAAAGATCACCACTCCTGCCAGAAAAAACATCCTAATGATCCCCATGACTTTTAAGAATAAATTTTTAGGATCAAAAGGAGAGAAAAGTGTGATCCTGTACATCCTGCAGTCTAGTGCTGCTTTATTGTTTCAGGAATATAAAAATGACTTTCTTAATTTAATGAAACCATAATTTCTGTTTTCCTAAATAAAAATTTGAAGGCAAGCTATACCTGGTTCATGAAATGATCTACAGAAGGCTTCCTCTACTTCACACCTCCTCAGCATGCAGTCAAATCCTTGCTAATTATTGATAATTAATTATCCCTACTACTTATTTGATTGGAGGTGAGAAATCTAAAGCAGACTCACCTCTGAAGGACTCAAAATAATAGAAAATAAAATAAAGCTTGTTAAAGTCAGAGCTTATATCCAATGGGAGGCTATATCATCATCTTAACAGAAGTTGATACTTTAAAACTCGAATTTTCAGTATAACAAGTATGCTAAGCAAATTTATTCACTTTACCTTTATTTCATACAATCAAGTAAAAAATAGAAATGTGTCACATACAAACACCGTTCAATTTTAATGACAATATAATATGTATAAATTAGAGCTTATGTCTAAAAAGGCTATGAAGATATGAAACCCATCTAACCATAGCATTCATACACAGGTTATATTTACTCTCAAATGTGTTCGATGATCGGAAACATTCAAGCATAGCAAAAAGCAAAAGAGATGCGCATAAAATACTTTCATAGAACTGTCATCGGCCTGATAAAACCATACAACATGACAGGTGCTCAGGATCTAATTTAAGGTATGGTTAACATCACTTTTGTAATAGATTGTTGCACATGAGACAGGAAATGCTTAAGAAAAAACCAGAAAGCGATGAAGTGTAGGGGAAATGTCACGCGTCTCGACATGCTGCTATTACTCATGAGATATAAATGCAAACCTCTACTCTCCATAACAATGTTGCTAATCTGACTTCAGTCAGAAGTGCAACTTGTTTGCAGAAACAAGTATATCTACTACTAATAGCAGGCTATGTAGGGGTTTAGTGCCCCCTAGAGGAAGAAGATAGATCCATGCCCCTGCATACACATTTACAGCAGATACATCTACTTCAATTTAAAAGTTAACCGTTTGCAGTTTGACAGAAGAAGTTTCCTTTCCTTCTGTCTGATAAACTCTCATAAGAGGAAATGGAGAGTTTTTTTGCTTTCTGCAGGGTTTACCGTCACCCTAATAAAATGTCGACAGTGTCTGGGATTTTTTTTTCACCCTTGATTGCTAAACCCTAAAAAAAAACAAAAAAAACCCAAAAACAAATAGCAGAAAGGATATCTTTAAACTGCAATCTCTGCACAACCCTTTTAGATATGTCTCCTATTTTGCAGCATTTCCTATTTAATATGTTTTTAGCAGCTTTACTTGTAAAGAAAAGCAATTTCACTTGCATTCAATCAATTTTCCAGCCAGCTAAAACACTACTAACACTTTCATTTAACTAATTTTCCTTTTCCAAACAGAACTACCTGAAGATATTCTGGTCTGGAAATATAGTTTAAAGGGCTAAAAAAATAAATCCACTTCATTAAACATTTCCATTGCTCTAACAGGTGGGCACATTTAAAACACACCCTATTTAAGCACAAAACAACTTTTTGGAGTGTAATCTGTTTAGAAAATAAATGTTGGTTTGGCAACTTCCAGTTAAGAAAACAAAAAAAAAATTATTTTTAAACAGGAATTTGTTATATTGATATTTGGCTGTTGATTTCCAACTGAAACTGATTCGTTCAAGTTTACCAGTGATAAACTTGCCATGACTTCTTCCAATGTTTGAGCCAAACTACCGATTTTGTATCAAACTAGAGTGCTGATGTATTACGTCATCAAGTGACTGCACCATGCTTTTTTTTTAAATAGATTTGTTCAGGCCTCATAGATCAGTATTTTCTTTTTTGAATAATCATATTTGTGAGTTTTAGATGTGCAAACAAATGTAAGCACTATGAGCTAAAACATAACTGGGAAGCAAGATATGATTTAAAACTTAACACCCTTTAACATTTAGATTCATTTGGTTAATATGCTCATTCACTCATTTCTTTTTACTGTATAATGATGATGAATTGTCTAGTCATTAACTTTAGTCTATTATTTACTTGCATTTTCCATTTAAAAACATGTTGGAGATCGTTTAATAGCTTAAAACAAACAAACAAAAAAAAAACCCTGAATTTATTACATGACAAGCCCATTTTATTGTCTTCCATGGATGAAAACAGAAACTATGTGTACAGAATGGTAGTCACATGCAATACAAAAATATGGATCTTTACAATAACATAAAAAACATGAATTGGCCCATCCTTTAAAAAAAAAACATGTACAACATTTTTACAGTGTTTTTATACATGTAAAAATATAAATATATATATATGTATATATATACACTTATCTGCGATAGCCAGGAGGACTACCTACTCAAAAATGTTAAAGTATTTTACATATAAAATGTTTTATACAAATCTTTAGAAGAATTGATTTAATTTGCTTTATATTAATTTATGTACATTACATAGGACTGGATTTGGAACACGTACTGCAGTCTTTCACAGAAAACCCGAAGAACAAACACGGTCCAACACTGAACGCTCACCCAGTTTCACGTGCACCCACAGGATAAGAAACTAAGAAAACACAAACACACAAATACCAAGATCCCGACTGAAGCCAGGAGTCACAATGTTCACCGACGCACTGAGGAGCTCACGTTTACGGGAGGATTTGGGACAAACTTGCAGCAGGTTCCTGATCGATGCTTCAGTAGAACAGATATTACATTATATTCCTGCGCAGTTTTGACCCGTTTGCTTTTACGGTGTAACACACACACACACACACACACACACACCACCTGTTTGTTTTCATGAGTCCCATAAACGGATTGTACATTAAAAAAAAAAAGACAGCATACAAGTGAGCACATCAAACTGATCCGTCTTTGAGATTCGCCTGAAGAGAAACTATAAAAACACAGCAAAAAAAAATAAATTAAAAAATCACCATGCAAGAAAAACTAAATTTGAACCCAAGAAAGAAAAAAAGGCTCATTGTGTTTTAGTTTTTTTTCCCTCTTTGATAAAAGTGCATATTGTCTGAGCATGGGTTAGTGAACACATGCCGTCACACGAAGCCGTAAAGAAAAGCGAGAAGAGGCAGAAGGCAGCTGGTTTGAGAGCATCACTCAAGCAGCCTGTCCGACATTTGTAGAGCCCTCGGGAGGAGGGGGGGTGGGAAACGGAGATAAATGAAGTCGTCCGTTAGGTGATTGGGTCCGTTTTATGTCCAGCAGCGTCTTTTGCTTTGTGTGTGTTTTTGTTCAGGGAGGAAAAAAAAATAAAATAGTGCCATGTGGTCAGCACACCAGCAAGAGAAAAAAAAAAAAACATGATAGCAGCAGAGAGAGGTGAGCAGCCATCAGCAGGCACAGACCACAGCGCAGTCAAGTCAGTCGGGCTCGGCACAGACACCACCAGGCCGGTTATTCACAAGCCCAACTGATGTTTGGGAATCCAACCAAAACGAAGGCAAAGAGAGTCTAAAGACGCGTCAAAAGGGAAAGCAAAGAGGATGATGCCGGCTGCCCCACCCCGCCCCTGTCTTTCATATTTCAGTCCCTCCATCTTCTCCTCCGAACAAGAAAAAAAAACACCGACGGTTAGACACGGAAGATTGGACTGGGGATTAGTGGATGGAGCGCCCGTTTCAGGCAGAGGCAATGCTTTGATCAATCCCGTAACAGTAAAGGATTCAGGAGCATGCAAGGCAGACCCAGGCTTTGTTTTGCATTGCTTATGTTTCAGAGTGACGGCTACAACCTAGATTAGACAAGAGAGAAAAAAAAAGGAGAGAGGAAAAAGGGCAAAGGAAATGTTAGACGGTTAGTAAAAGTAACAGGGATGAGGCTGGATAAAAGCACTTTGATTAGTCAGAGAGGATTCAGCACATTAACCAGCTGGAGGACTTGATTATTTAAGGGATTTCCTGTTGTTGAGCTTTAACTCCTTTGAGAAAAATTATAATTCAGTATGTGTGCGCTGTCCTTTAAACACGGATGGCTTCATAGTGAAGCTCTAGAGCGCTTGGAGCAAAAGCAAAGTGTTGAAAAGCAATTTAAAGATGAAAAGCAAAGGGAGAAGTTTTGTTTCCTCTATTAGGAGCATTAAAACCAGACTAAGTTGCATTGAAGCTGCAGCCAAATTCTCTACATGTAGATGAAAATAGTTTGACTGCTTCAGTTATCAGAACCAAGACCTTCATTAGAAGGAACAGAGAGGAAAGCTGCTTCATGGGCAGAAAACCGTTTTCTCAGTTAAGTTTACTTGTGAAGAAGGGCGAGGCTTGAAAAATGAAATGGAGATTAAAAGGAAAATTGGCCAATCTGATTGTTGATTTTCTAGCATTTCCTAAATAAATTACTCATTATTTTGCATTAGATATATGTATATTTTTTTATTCCTACAAAAACTAGAGGAAATTATTGGTATTTGACATTTTAAATGTTTTCACTTAACGTTCCAGTGCCTCATTCCTTAACCAAATATTTTAGTATATGAAAAAAAAACAATCGGTCGATATATGGATTTAGACAATTTGAGCAAACTAACCGCCCTCTTTGGTGTGGAAGTTGTTTTCAGGGGATGAAGACTCAAAGTTTGTCATTTCAAGTTTTGGTGAGATGTCATAGGAAGCAGAACAGCTGTAAGCAGCTCTCTAAAGGGAACCATTGATGGAGTCTGTAACTAAAGACACCATCTTTCTCCTGATGCTGATCATTTCAGTTCTTTTCCATTTGGTAGCTGGCTATGATGAGCATCTCTACCACAGGAAGCCCTCCCACAGTTCAGATACCTGAAAATACCCTCCTGTCTTCACTACTCCTAGCCTCCAACCACAACTGCGTCAATTTAAAGTGTCCTTTACTGACTTCCTCTGGTTATATTGTTTTTATCCATGTGACTGATCTGCCATCTGAAGAAGCTGCTTTTTTAAAAACACAGATGCTAAAGACATTTTGAAATGTTGAACTCTAATCATTTCATCTTCTAAAACAGTTTTTAGGACGTTTCCGCTCCTCCTAATAGGCTGAACTAATTTTATAACTGTTAATTTCACGTTTAAAAACTAAAATAAAAAAGGCCTTTTTTTTAAATCACAAATAATATTGAATATATATTTAATTTAATATCTAGACTCCTTCATATGGTTGAAATGGGCTTTATTTTATATTGTTTTGATAAAATCTTGAACCTTTTAGGTTTAAAGTTTAACATTTGTTTCCTCCTACTCTGCTTCCTTTAATTGTTATTTAAATGTATTTTTCGAGATTATTATTTGACATTATATTTAGTATTTTTTCTTCAGATCTGTGGGTCCAGGTTGGAGTCAGTATCTCTAAACATTTGGAACCGCTGTGTCTTTCAAAGGCTGTGGCTGCTTTATATCAAAGTAGTTTATTTTTTTAAATAGCGGCTCCACTTGCAAAGTTTTGAAATATTTATGCTTAATAATAGCTTAAAGATATATAATATAAAACTATAAAACACAAACACACAGGTGTTCATAAAAAAAACAAAAAAACATTCACATTTCATATTAAAAACACAAGCAGAGAAAATCTGATTGACTATTTCAACCAACCAGATAATGAATAAATGTTTGGTTTACATAAAGACTATCCAGCCCTACAGGTCTGACTGAAGCTTGGCTCCAGTTCTGTATCGTTTCTACAGTGTAGAGACAGAAATCATGACTGACTAGGTCACTGTACCACCGGGAACCCCAGGGAATACATGAAGAACATTTTTTTTTTTTTTTTACAGTATTTCTACATCCAGTGTCTTGGACTCGGCTCCAGCTGTGGGATACCTACTCGGCAGACTTCCAGAAGTGTCCCGGGTGGGACAGCCTGCGGTTGAGTTTGGGCAGCTTCTCCAACATGTCAGCCAGCTGAGTGAAGGTGGGTCTGTCTCTTGGGTCAAATGCCCAGCAGGCAGAGAGGATCTCCTAAAAAATACAGCATTTAGATTTAATCTACATTTCTTAATCAGGTTAAATTTAAAGATGTTTTTTTTTTTATAAATGATGACTCCGACTCACAGTGACCTCCTTGCCCAGGCTGATCTCCCCTAAAACCTTCTTTATGCCCTCTCCACTCCCAACCTGCCAGATGATGGCTTCAATGTGCTGGTTAGTGATCGGCCAGTCCCTGGCTTGGAGCTCATACCAAATTGTTCTAAAAATAAAAAAGAAAGAATGTAGAGATGTGATTATTAATTTTAATAAATCCACTGTGGAACCTGGATGTAGGTCTCCAGAACTCAAATACAACTCACCCAAAGGCGTAAACATCTGCTGCTGTGGAAAAGGGAAGTCGGTCCTCGTTGTTACCTGGGCTCATTTTACGCACAATCTCTGGTGCGAGGTAACAGATCCAACCGTGTGGAAGTCTGAGTTTATTCTCCCGCCTGAGGAAAAAATAAATCAATAAATCTACCAAAGCAGCCCATTTCTTATAGATATCACCCTCTGACAAGCACAAGGAGATGGCTGCTGCTGCTGCTGCTGGACTGCCGCTGCAGGCCTCAGCAAGTTTTACAGCTCACTGCAGCTCCCCTGGTAATAGCACAGCAGTGTAAACAGAACTTCAGCTGAGCTTAGCGCTTCTCACCTCCCTTCCTGAACGACACCAGAAATCCCAAACAGGCCGAAATCCGTGATCACTACTTTGTTGGTGTCGTGGAAAACGTTCTTGGACTTCAGGTCTTTGTGAACGATGCCTTTGGCGTGAAGGTAACCCATTCCCTGGATGAAAACGGTGACAGATCAGGAGATAATGTCAAACAGGCAGCGGTCACATAGGTTGGTGAGTGGATGAAGACTTATTAGGCAATGGACTAATTCCATAATGAAAGAAAAACATTTCCTACATTGAAATACACAAACTGTAATCAAGTGGAAAACAAAGAAATGCCTTCCAACTAAAATGAGCTACTTTAATGAGCAGAGAGGAGGGAAAACAGGAGGCTTCATCATTCTGTGCAATAAGAATTCCAAACGACTACATTTCGGTGCTTATTGGATATCATTATGTTTGATTAGAATCAAAACAAATATAGTAAATTGTTAAAATATATTTAGAGCTGTAATAACCAGTCTGTTAGACTCTAATAGCTGATTTTCTGCCTTGAATTAACGGTTTCACATAATTCTTTGAGGATCTCAAACAGGTCCGATGGTTGTCTGAGAATCTTTATATTTCTGTCCAGAGAGGACTTGGTTGAGAAACATGAGGCCTTGGTGGAGGAAAGCGGAGAAAACTGATGTGATAGAGGTCAGAGAAATCCAACCCACTGACTGATTTTAGTTGTGCTGTTCTGAAAAGGGGCCTTAAATCTGGAGTTTGAGGGATTACAGCTCACCTGGCCCAAAATAAAGATCTAAAATAATGGAAGACTGAGGCCAAACAAGAGGTTTAAGTAGAAAATAACAGAGAGAATAAGATTAATAACTGCATACCTTAACAATCTCCTGAGCGATTTGCCTTGTTTTATTGATATCCAAGTTGTTTTTAGTGTCCCGAACAACAGAATACAGAGTCCTTCCTTTACAGAAACTGTTAGAGAAGGAGAGAAAACATCAGCGGACTGGAAAATGTTGTACGATGGAAGGAACTTGGTGGGTTTGTTTGTTGTGCTTTTACCTGGTGATGATGGCTAAGTGTGGTGGAGCCATGCAGGCCCCCATGAACAGGACCACATTCTCATGTCTGGTCTGTCTGTAGTTCATCACCTCCTTCTTGAAAAGCTTCAGGTGGTCCTGGTTGTTTCCATCGATCTCCAGTAGTCTGATGGCCACCTCGCCGTGCCACCGACCCTTGTGCACTCTGCCCCAGCGACCCTGTTAGACAGAAATCAAATCTCAGGGAAACGTCTCCTTCTCAAACTGTAAGTTTGACCAAGTGTTTTTATAAATCCACACCTTTCCGATGAGCTCTCCGAGGTCCAGCTGCTCAAAGGGAATGTCCCACTCCTGCAGGTACACGCTCGTCTGACTGGGCTTGCGGGAGATGGGGCCCTTCCACTGGCTTCCACGAGAACATGGCAGATCATCCAGCTGGTCGCACTCGCCGTCCGATCCGATGTTCATCCTCATGTCCTCCCTGTCCTCCTCATATTCCTCTCCGTGCTCATGCCCGTCATCTTCTTCGTTCTCTTCATCCTCTTCAGGATCTTCATCTTCAGCTTCAATGTCCTCGTCCCCCTCCTGGATTCAAGAAGGAAAACCCCGGTTAGAAAACAGAAAGAGACAAATAATCTAAAAGCGTTGTGTGAAATTACCTCTTCATCTTCATCCTCTACCAGCTCAGTGTGCGTGTCATCTGCAGACTGCTCTACCTCACTCCTGCATAAACAGAACATCAGAGATAAAAATTAAAGAAAAAAAAACATTATTTGACCCGTTAAAATGAATTAACTACTGTCTAACTTACACTGTATCTTGGAGGACATCAGAGTATATGCTTGAAGGACTGCAGACATCTATGGAGAAAAGGATTAACACCATTTAAACAGATCAATAAGGGTCGAAACACACAGAGCGTGTCTGCTCATGCAGTTCTGCTACATCACCAGCAGATGGCGTCAGAACACTTTTAAGGGCCAGTATGCACACTGAGGGAAGTGGAGGCTAAGGTCTCTATGAAATCATGCAGGAGGAAGAGAGGGGTATGAAGCAGCATGATGGCGTAACGAGGACTGAATGTGTCACTTTGGGACAATCAACTCACCGGGGAAGATAAACTGCTGCCTATGCTGAAAGTAATATGCAGCTTTTGCAAAAAATTCAGAGAGGGGACAAAAAACAGAATAGCAGGAGAGGTTCAGGGTTAGTGAAGCTCTTGGTTAAGAGATTGTCATGAGAGCACAGATCAGTGTTAATGTCTCTGGTGGAAACAGAAGGCGTGAGAAAAGGGTGCATAAGGCCTGTAACAATAATCAAGAAGGGAAAATCATCTTAAATGTATTTTAGAAAAGCAGATTTACCTGGAAAGTTAAAGCGGCTGTCCCTGTGTCCTTTGGGCGAAGGGTTCGGAGGTGGGGTGGCACTTGGAGGATTGCTCTGCTGGAAGGGGGCAGGGGAGGACGGTGTGGAGGAAGTGGTGGAGGATGGGTTGCTGCTGGAGTCAAGCTGGTTCATCACAGGAGGATGATCCTGGTGAGTCACAGGTTTAATAAAACCAAGTTAAGGAATCAACATATCACTGCTTTTAAGATAACCTAACAAACTGATACCTTAATTATCATACTTTGAGCTTTTAGGATTTTGGAAAGATTGTTTTATTAAAGTAAGTTAAAGAAAATGACATATATTGCTTTGATTTAGAAGAGAAATGAGCAGATGGTGGAACTGACTGAAAAAAAAAAATGTTTTCTCACTTTTGGAAAGAAATGGGTCATTTTTTTAACAAGAACAACCAAGAATTACACCTCTTAGTCTAGCACTTGAGTGACACTTGCAATGTTAATATGCAGCAGTAAAGGATTCATGTTGCGTAGATTTTCTTATCAAACCATGTAGCTTTGATAAATGTAAACTTTGCCAATTCAGCTTCATAAAAATATTATGAGCTTTATCTAATATTAATGTTTTATAGGGAATTTTTGTGCGAGTTCTTGGAGACAAAGTAGTGCATAAATGTTAGGTGAAAGCAAACATGATTTCTAAAACTTCTCTATGAATATGTTTGCATTAAAAAAAGTCTATAATGTGTAAATACATCTGAGGTTTGTGGTTAAAATATAAGAAGATGTGAAACAGTTTGAGGTATCGTTACCTTTTTAGTAATGGCCTTTGGTAAAGTACCAAACTGTGGAGCTTCTTGTGGCCGGTCCACAGGGTTGTTTATATCAGAAGGAACTGACTCGGTCCTCCTGATTTTGGCAACTAAAGAAAAACAATTATTCTCACACAACTCTGATGTCACAAACTCATAAAAGAAAATAAAAACAGAAAAGGCATTAAAACCATACTTGGTAGAAAGGAGATTCTGCAGGATGGAGCCTCTTTCGTGCATTTGTTGTGGCACTTTAATCTGCAGACAGCACATGAGATAGCTTGTTAGCAATTAGCATTTAGCATCAACAGAGCTCCTCAATTCCAGATCAAGATTAAGTCAAGCCAGCAGAGCTCTCTGCTATGAAACAGGATTAATAGCTTACTGAGGTACCTTCAAGATCAACATAGAACCTGCTCTTGAAGTTCAACCTGTTTCAGAACTAGTTTGGTTTGGATCTTATGTTAGATTATAGACGATTCATGTGTGTTTTTGCTACATGTATGTAAATTTGCTTTGTTGGAAGAAGCAACAATAGAGTAGCATAAATAGAACGATGACTCAGTGTTTTCTCATCCAGACGTGAGAGCAGGTGTCCTACCCATCCTGCTGTATATCATCCTTAAAAAATATTTTGTTCAATTAATTTGAACCCACTGGATAAATAAACCATCATATGTGCTCATGCTTTAGTGATAAATGCCAAGGTCAGTGTGATCTATCAGTCTGAAATCTGAAATGGTCTTTACAGCAGACCAGGAGCGCTGTATGGGGGGGGAGTTAGGAAGCCAAAAATAAGAGGAAAAGATAGGAATATCTTTTCACAAGCATAAACCTATCATCTATACATGTGTACAGAGAATCAGCTGTGTTTCTTTATATAAGCCGTCATTATATCGATAGGATAGTTTCTAATGTAAAGTTTTAAGTTAATGTATATTTGTTTGCATTCTGATCATTTTCCTTTGTAGAAATTTCCAAATAAAAATTACATTGAAATGTTTGCTGCTTTTTATATAAATCCTATGTTTGGTTTTTTTTTCTTAGAAGGATGCCATCAGCTGCATAAAAGTAATTGGTCACAATTTGCAAACTCCACCTTAGCAGATGTCTCGTCATGAAACTTTGAACTCCTCCTCTAGCTTGGTCAGTTTACCAGCTGGCTTCCATTAAGAGATGTCCAATATTTATCGTGCATGCCTGTTGTCCCTTAGAACTAATCCTCTATACCAGTTAGGTGGGTTAGGTTAGGTGATGCAAGAGTTTTATCAGATGCACCAACATAGAACAGCCTTACACATTTTATATCACAACAGCTCTTTATAAGTGGATCATTCCCCACAGAGTTGATTATATTAAACCCACTGTCCATCCTTAGGACCCTGTCACACCTTGCCGATTTAGCCAGCATATGCCCGAAGTCCCAGAATCAACTAAAATGCTGACATACAATGCATTTTTTAAGTATTTTCTCAATTTTGAGCAGATACACAGCGCATTCATAATGAGTCCAGAACTGATCTCCAACGACAGCCTGACTTATGCCTAACGCACAGCAGCGTAATGCCCATGAAATTAGGCACAAGCTAGTGTCCTGTTGGGGGCAGTGATGCACCCCGAGGCGCCCGGCCCGCATAAAAAGCTGTCTTTGATCGCAGTAATAACCTAACTGCGGTTTACCACCCGCCAAAAAGAAAAAGAAAGAATAAATAAAAAGAAAAAGGAAGAAAGAGGGTTTGCAGTCTCAGCAGGTTCAGCGTCAAGTCTGCTAGGCAGTTTGTTGGTCGATACAAAAAGCTGTCGATACGATGTTTGATACTGTTATACAGTAGCTGTACATTCGAAATATGTTCAGCGGTCGTCTGGAACATGTCTGATATGTTGATAAGTGTTGGAGATAAGTTCTTAATAAGTTACGTGTAAGTTGTGCGCAAATTATTCATAGGGTTTGGATAAGCTGGACTCCTTGACTTATAAGTAACTTACACTTAATGTCAACGATCAGATAACTTCCCTGTAACTAATGGCCCACCTATGAGCATACACTGGCATACGTCGGTACTCGCCGTATGTTGACGTGTTTCTGCGTGCTTCAGGAGACTTCAGCATGCTCATAACTTACACAAAACGTACCCATAACTTATCCAACAATGCCAGCGATTTTGCCAAATTTTTTGCACATCAGGCATGCGCTGGTCTAAATCGCCAATGTGTGACAGGGGCTTTAGGTAGTGATACCATCCAGTTACAGACAGCATGGTCTTAAAAATCTGGTCTGCATATGTCTGTCTAGGTCTGGTAGAAACTGAGTCAGTGATATCATTAAGGACTATTTTTATTCTTTAGAAAATCTTAACAAAAATAGGATCTTTAAACAGAAGTGAATGAAGTGTTATTAGCAGAAATTGTAATCACTTTAAAAGCATAATCTCCACCTACAATATATTGTCTTCCCACCATTTTTAGCTAAATTTAAGGCCAAGATCTTTAAGAATGATAAAACAATGGTTTCATTTCACATATTGAGGCATTTTAAACAGAGGACTCCACTTACCGACAGTGTTTGCATTTAACTCCGAACATCATGTTCTTCTGGCACACTTGACATGTCTGAGACAACCAGGACTTGGTTGAAAACCTGCAGGTTACATAAATGCATGTCGTTTATGCTGAATTAGAGAACTGTCATTATTATTTTATAACGGAAACGCAGTAAGCTCGCCTCAGTGACACAAAGATGGTTGGAAAATATGTGAAAAAACATAAAGCAAACAGTTTACCTGTGCGTGACTGATAGGCCGATGTCCCTCCTCACTGCTTTCGGGGAGCTGCGGTGCAATGCTACATTATTTAGGCAGGCAAAGGGAAGGAAGACTAGAAGATTAACAATACGGCTGAGGAGTCGTCCTGAATGGACCTGATTTTATTTATTATGAACTGATTATTCACACACTTCTACAAAAATAGCTTTCATTTGAAATATGTCATGTCTTAGAAATGTTCCCAACTTTAATAATAAACAAGCTTCCAATGTAGATATTAAGATGACCTTTAGTAAGAAAAAACAAGCAGAAAAGCATTTGGCTCACTCTTAATTATGCTGTGCTCCTCAATCAAGGTGGGCGTCCCTGGCAGGGTGTAAGGTGCAGTGTTGGGAACCGGGGTCCCTCCAGGGGTCCGCGCAGACTTGACCGGGTATCGAGAGGGCGAGTCCTCACATCCGTTCCCGTTCATTTGCATATTCAGCAACAATTTGTTCTTTTTTAAACACCTGAAAGGTAAAACCATATCAAAATAATCAGCAGGTCTAATTTACCGCCATCAACTAGTAGGAATGAGACCAGTGAAGGTCTGCAGCATCACGGGGAAGATTATCGACGCACTGCAATGAGCCACGCTGCAGCACCTTAATAGCATTGGCACACTGACAATAGTCACATCCTTAACACCCACATGGAGGTCACAAGAAAAGCACCAAGCTGTGCAAGACCTGTGATCTGTGTGCACGTGTCCTCACATGAGAGGAGGAAAAAAGACAGCCGGGAGAACACATTTTCTACCTGCATACCATCTAGTTTTAGTTTCTGCAACACATGATCCAGGATAGTAAAGCCTGCATGTAGCATCTTAATTACTGTTAAGCAGAGTGGTTTTATAAGAGCACCACTTCCTTGTATTACTGGTTTTTCCCCATAATAAAATATTCCATGAAGCAACAGGATATTGTGGATTATCTTGCGGCCTGTTTGTGTTTCTACAGTAAATCACAACAAAGACAGAGTGGGAAAAAAAAAAAAAAAAACAGAGATTAAGTGGGTTGCCACCCCTGAGAATAAGAATTAGGAAATGCTTCCTGTTTTGACATGACTCATAATCTCTGGGAATTTGTTTGGGATTAGCTCCCCTCAAACAGTAGGAGCAAAGGAGCAACAGCCAGGATGTGAAGGGATGCTGGACAGGGAACGTGAAGGGATCAAAGGAAATCTCTTTGCCCGAGTCCTAAAACAGACAAATTCATCATTTAGGGGAGAGACAATGAACTAACAGGTCTCACTGGGGACACTATACCAAAGGCTACTCCACTCATTGAGCCCAAATATAAAGAAATTCTAAGAAAATCATGTCATTTTTCCCCAAATAAAAAAATATGTTAATGATCATTCACTGTATTATTCTAATTTAAACTAAACATTTAACAGATTTAATCTCTTCATCAAGTCAAGTCATAGCTAAGCTTAGTTTACATAGCTTGATCATTTCCTTCCAGGCAAACCTGCTCAGTAGCTAAACATCAAAGATAACACCCGGGGCTCAGATCTACTACTTTATTTGGCGTAGCTGGTGTTGATTTGGTTATTTTATGATTCAAACCAAACATTTGAAAGATGTTGGTGATGATATACTAGTAGTAATAGCTTGCCATTATTTGACCTGACGGATGACCGTGTGAACCCAGTGAACTCAGCACGGTACCTACTTGTTGTTGGGAGGATCCTCGATACGATTGCCCAGCTGGGACTCGTGGCTTTTGCTGCGTGTCAAAGTAATGTTGGGGAGCAGATGCAGCACCTTACGAGACGGAGGAGGAGGAGTGCAAGGAGGCTTCAGTTTGTGGGGCCTTTTTGTGGGCGGGGTTACGGGCGGGGTGGAAGTGTGTCCGTGGAGCCGGGATGTGCGTGGCCGAGGCATGGGGAATAAATCTGTAAGGGGGCTGTCACCGTGGCCGTATGACCCCAGCCCATCCGGTGAAGGTGCTGCTGAAACTGAACCAGAGCGGGGATGAGGGAAGGTCGCAGAGGGGGTGGATGGGGTGGACTGGATGGTGGAGGGGCGGGCTAGAGGCGACGGACTGTGTGGGCGAAGGGGAGTTCCCAGGTAGGGCAGCTGGTCTGCGGTTAGTAGAGATCCGCTGTCCCTCCTGGTGGATTCAGACAACCAGGAAACGCCGTCCTCTTTCATTTCACCACCTGTAAGAGAAAAAAAAATGATGTTAATTAAAATATATGCCAGATTTTTATTTCATCAGGGTTTGGGGTATTGATATAGGTGAGACCTACCTGATTCAGTGGCACTCTTCAAACAGGAGAGGGCAGCACCAAGTCGTGCACATTCTTCTGAACTGGACCCAAGTCTTCTCATTGCATCTCTCACTTGAGCTCCGGTCATCTGCAGTAAGGCGTCCAGGGACAACTTTGCCTCCACAGCCTGCAGGAAAAAGATAAAAACAAACATGGCTGAGAGTCATAATGGTAAAGAGTAAGGATGACAGAATTCTAACATACACACAACCAAAAATCTTACAATAATTTGACCCATTTTAATCTGAAAAACACATTATTTACAATGAACCAGCATAATATAATCCTCCTGACTACATTCAAACTACAGATCCAGGCCCTCTGAAACAAAGAACACAGATCAGATTAAAGCCCAAATACTTTACTGAAGGCCTGAAAGTGAGAATGAATCATTTCAAATTGACTGTCTTGCTCACACTAATTGGTATGTGGGGAATTTGAAAAACTTGTAACCATCACTGGACTTCAAGCAGGGAAACATGCAAACCTTTACAGCTGCTGTTCTGTACCAACCTGTTGCTGTCAGTTCAAATATTTAAGCTTGACAACTTTGCATCTCTGAAAAGGTACTTTTCAAATTTCCTGTGTCAGAATTAGGCCAAAGCTGAGGTGGTAGAGTCTCCATAAAGATTAAGAAATCAAAAGAAAAAAAAACTGCAACAACCTGATGTACAAATGTTGATTTAAATATAAGATTTAGCAAAAATAAACTGATTATTCTAGGATCTTTAGCCAAACTAAACAAATTCAAAAACAACAGAGATTCCTACACTGCAAAAAAATTAAATCTAAATAAGCCATTTCCTCCTTAAAATAAGTGTATTTTTTCTTGAATTAAGTATTTAAGTGACACACTTTACCAATGGAACAAGACAATTTACACTTAAAATAAGAAAAAACAATAGCATTTTCTCATTTCAAGTGCATAATATCTAGATAACTTATTTTAAGAGTAAAAATACTCATTCTATTGGCAACTCATCTTATTTACCGGCTCAAATTAAGGGTAAATACCCTTAATTTAAGACATTGCTACTTATTTTGAGATCGTTTTTGCTGTGTAAACAGCAAGATCACTGCAAAAAAAAAATAAAAAAATCTAAATAAGTAATTTTTGTTTCTTAAAATAAGTGCATTTTTTCTTGAATTAAGCAGGTAAATGAGAGACCTTGCTAATGGAATAACGCAATTTATATTTAAAAAAAACAAAAAAACAACTGTAGTCTCTTATTTCAAGTGCATCATAACTAATTATCTTATTTTAAGGGTAGAAATGTTAATTCCATTGGCAGATCATCTTATTTTCCTACTCAACTTAAGGGTAAATACACTTATTTTAAGAAATTTACAGAACATTTTTGCAGTGATACTGTAGAAATCTGTTTTATTACCTAAAACCACACTCCTCAGGCTAAATACTGGTTAAAGAAACAGAACAAGATCAACCAAAGGGATTGGCAGAAATCTCAATCTAACCTCAGTTACACAATTATCTACTAGTATGCTTTAAAGCACATCCTCATTTTTATTAAGCCTAAATTGTTTTGAGGAACACTGTTTAGGTTTTTCCAGGCAGATATGCGCCTAAATCTTAATGCAGTTTATGAAAAGAAAACAAACATCTGATCACCAGCTATCGATCATCTAGGGACATAAATGTCATATTCAGGTCATTTGCATTTTCTGCATCGTTTTTGTGGACTCTGATGACAAAGAAAATGTTTTCTTTAATGTGTGCAAAAATAGCCACACAAACAACACTCCATAGATTGCACAAGGATGTAGGACCTTGTCCAGTGAATTTTAGGATGTTATTTTTCTCTACATGGGAAGTGCGTAAACGCTTATCAGTCAGGTTAAACCCTTGCTCTGAGAGGGCAAATACTGATCGCAAAACTAGGGCAACCTCCCACACTCGTGTGTACACTGTAAGCAAAATCAAGAGCACACAGGCGGACGTGCGAAAACACTAGCAAGGATGAGAGATGGGAGATTTAAAAGTGGCCATGTGCCTGCTGTCCTTATGGCTCTGAAAATACACAACTCAATTAGAAACGGAGCTACACGGATACAGAGTTTCCCAGCAGGCTTTGTGAGAGGCAATACTAAGAAAACATGGTCATGTAGTTGCATTTAAGTCTAATTAACAAAAAAGGTACAAAAAAAAGCAAAAAACATTTCTAAATTATGTTTTTGAGGCCTGGCTGGATTATTAAATGTCCAATACATAGAGGAACCATTAAAGAAGCCAGGCTGCTCATGCCTGCCGTGGACTCACATCCTGCAAGCTGAAGCGTGGGAGCAGGCTCGATGGATTCCATAAATAAGAAGGTAAAACCATCAGAGGGTTTTTGGACCACCCATTACATAATGCATCCCTCATAGAACGAGCCAAAGAGACGTGCTGTATAAACCTTGGTCTGATAATGTGCGTTGCTTTAAGTGGGTCGACATCGCATCATGACAGCAGAACATTTATTAGAATGTTCTCACATGTAGACAAAAGGAAGTAATTTTCTTTTATGCTAGTAGGCAGTGAGAGAGCCTTGCAAAGGTTTCATGATGTAATGCTACAACCAGCCTTTGCATTTTATGGGGCTTTTAGGTGGCAGACAAATCAAGGTAGGCATCACTAAAATAAAAGAAAACATGATTGTAGCTTTTGTTTTTTAAAGAATAAATGTATATATATCTCTAGCTTTTTCTCTGACTTAAGCTTCTTTTCTGAACATAAAGCTTTGCGATCAACCGGAGCAGTTCCACGCAAATATATCGTGATATAATATGTCTGACCAAATTGTTTTTATAAACATTTTTTTTTAATAAAACACTTTAAATGCCACAATAAACACATTTAATGAATTTTAATGCCAATTAAGGACTTAATTTAAAAAGTAATAATTTAATGACATAATGATTTTGAATGATCTGCTGAAACCCTGAATTAGGTGAGTGCATGGCCAATAATGTCCAGACTGTCTCCATTTTGGATCCGTGCTGCACCTACAGAGTTACTAAGGTCTTCTTTGCACAGACAGGGTTGTAGTGCTGCTAAACTCTTTTAGAAGTTGGACTGAACTTTATGGAATATTGTAAAATAATGCTGCTCTACATTTTGTTTCTTGATTTTGAGAAGTTTCTATTTTGATTGCTCTGTCACAGTCATTGTTATAAAATGTACAAATCTTCTACTCCTTTCATCCCACTTCTCAAACAGACATACGTTAGTCTATCAACTGAAGTCCCAATAAAATGCAATTAAATTCATGTTCATAATGTCAAAAGGTTCAGAGGGCCTTAATGCCTCTGTAAAGGCCTGTATATTAAAGGTAGGTCCACTTAAAAATGAGGAGCAAAGACTGCAAAAGTAAAAGGACAGATGTGAATCAAGTGTAAAGACACGTACTAAGAAATGAAAAAGCATGTTAAACACAGGAAAAACACATCAAAAGAAATAAATAATAAAGCAAAGACAAGATGGGGTGAAAAATAAAAGTGTAAAAGAGCAGACAGGGGAAAGAAGTCAAACAAAATACCTCTGAAATCAAGCAATACTCTAAGAAAAGTGACGTGTGATGATCCGTAACATGATAACTGGTTCATACGTCCAATAAGGAGAAATGTTGTGACGCTGATTTCCTTACATAGCTGCACAAAACACCTCACAGGACTTTGACTCACTAAAGGCGTTCATGTTTAGACAAGTTCATGAGTGCAGTTTTATGACTGTTTGATCTCAACTGGAAAAAGGATTAATGTCTTTAGTAAAGAAAATGATTTAAATATGAAGAATGGAATCAATCTGATAAGTTTTAATACTTGAAACAAATATAAAAAAAAAAGTCCACTGAAGTAAAGCCAGGATCAGCCCCAGAAAGCTCCCTTAAAGACCAGAGGCTTCAGCAAATATTAACTTTTGGGACATTCCTTATGCACCTGTCGAAAAGGCATTTGTTAGTCAGACAAACGTGGCATTTAAACGGAAAAAGACAGCTGGTTGGAAAGTTGATTTTCATCCAATTAGGAAGACATTTTCCAAGCAAGAACATCAGGAGTTTGATTTTGCATTGTTAGCCTCCTGCCCTGTTTTTCATAGAAATTTAAAAACCTTTATTATAAAATTAGGTGTTTTCAGTGTACGTGCAATGCAGACAGCATGATTGCAACCATAAAATAAGCTCCACTTTTATATCCTAGTACGCTGGTCAGGCATTCCTCACGCACACGTGAACGGGGCAGCGAGTACACACACTGGACACACATCAGTGTGACACAAACACAGAACAGAGCGCCGTCTGTAGAGAACAGCGTGGCCTACCTGGATGAGCTCTGCTCTCAGGTTGACGGTGCGCAGCCAGTCTCGTAAGTGTGGGTAGCTGTCCAAGGCTTCGGGCCTCTCCGTCTCTGGAAGTTTATTTTTACACTGCAGCTGCTTACAGATGTATTTCATCAGCTTTACCTGCAGGGAGCAACAGAGGACGTGTCAGAGATGGGAGGGGCCGGTCAGAGTGGAGACTCAACTTTCCTTTGATCTGAAGGGTCATCTTATTTCATTTTTTTTCTTTTTTAAAGATAGCAGAAAGCTGAGCGTCACGGCCACCAGTGACGTGTGTGTAAGTGACACATAAGGACCTAACCAATGATTTCCATCAAAACAATCCTCTGATTCAACAAAGCCTCACGAATGAAATACGGACATGAGCCTCCATCATGCTTTGAAACCTTTTTATAAACATCTGTATTTGCAGATCTGGAAACTGAACTTATTTAAAAATATCTTTGACTCTAGTGGAGCAAAAGATTTTTGGCTGCATTCAGGGAAATACTTAAACTAGGCCGTTGTAACACATTATGCCTTCCACTGGATCTCAGTATATGTTTAAGGTTGCTTTCATGTTGGATGGTGAACTTTGACCTCCGTCTAAGGTCCTCTGGTAGCTCCAACAGGAAAAATCATCCAGTGTTTATCTCCAACAATTGGATCCTGCATCTGCATATACACATATATATATATATATATCAAATATTTCCATTCAAGCACCTACATGTTTGCTTTTTCAAACAAAAAAGGCAGATTTGTAATATTCACAAGGGAGAAGCAATTTTTTTTTATTTATTCTGGATTCTTTTTATACCCTCATGTTAAAAAAACAACAAAAAAAGCAGAGCTGCGGTTCTTTATAGCTTTCATGATAAGTGCATCAGTCCGTTGTGTAGGTATTACAATGAAGACCGCGGTGTTGGTTTGCAGCAGCCCGCATTGTGCAGCTCATCATGACTGTATAGTGTGTCCTTATCTCACGGGCCATCTGAATAGAGTCCATTACAGCAGGCGGCACCTACAGATGAGAGGTGCAGCACCAGCTAGCGAGCAGCTCGGCGCATACCTTTTGAGCGGCCGGCGACAACAATGGCGAGCGTGCGTCTTTCTCTGCACATTCAACCACCCCAGTGAATCATCCACTTGTCAGTCACACAGAGACTCGCTGCAGCCTCGCATGTATCTGAAAGATGTGACCTTGGGTGGTGAAAAGAGCTGAAAATAAAAGCATCTCGACTGGAGTATGAAAAGAGGAACATAAAGAGGATGTTATTGCTCTAGGTGTTGACCCCCACTCTGCTCTTAAGCTCTGCAGTCATTCATCAATCATCAGTAATTAAAGCAAACATGGAAGAATGCAGCGTGAAGGCAATGCTGTGAAATCTCAATGGTCAAGATAAAGAAAGCCAACTTTTAGATCTTTTAAAGTGCTCTTATCTGCACTGTGTGAATTTCACCCTTCATGATTATCATTCTATAACTGATCTAATCACATATTTCAGATGCTGCAGTGTCTCTCATATCTTAACCGGCATGATCGCAAACAAGAGGCGTTTACCACATGTGGCTAATGAGCTCCTTCACCTCCCCATACACTAGAGCCGTGCGATGACATCAGGTTACCTAGCAACCCTTCTTCTGAGGCGTCAGCAACATTTCAGTGGGATTTTCCCATACATGTGAAACGCGGAGCTTCAAAGAACACTTTGAGATAAAAACGTCACCGTAGGTCTTTACCAGAAAAAGGCAGCAGCGAATGGCAGGTTTAAGATACCCTCACTCAAAAGGCATTCAATGTGGCTGTTGGGGCCTAAGATCTGGCACCGATAGGGGGAATGAGTGCTTCTCTGTTAAACGCAGTCGGGTACAAAGCTAACCGGGAGATTCTAGCAACCCCCCCTTTGCTTTTTATTTTTGGTGCAGAGGAGAGACAACAGCATTTGACGTCTGGCCTGGAGGTGGGAGGAGAAATGGCGTCAGAGCCCACCTGTCAGCGGAGCAAAACAACACCATGGAAACGGCATCTGCTGTGCAGAGGATGAGTGACAGCCACCAGAGAGGAGAGGAGAGGAGAAGGGGGGGGTCCCTGCAGCAGTCCAGCCTGTTACAGCAGACTTAGGGAGCAGATCCCACCGCCTCTGCTGTTCATTCTAGCCTCTTGCTGACACAGGCAGTTTGGTGCACCTGCCAAGGATAGCATGGCCTCTCTGGGAGCCGAGGAGCCATGCTCAGTCCTAGAAAATGATATTTAGACTGGGAGGCCAGTGTGTTTACACCCCACATCGAAACAGAACAGCAGCGATGCACTCTAGGTATGGGCCAGAAGTCAATGAATGACAAATGACTAAAACAAATGAATGAGATTTCACTGTATTTCAGTCTTAACAGAAAAATAAAGGGAGAAAAAAAATCAACTGCTTCATCTAAAAAAAAAAAAGGCAACAAATAATTCTACAGTGGACAAGGTAATATATTAACTGTAATACATAAGCTTAAGAAAATAACCTTTTTATAAAAGATGGACATCCTACATTTTTATTTTTTTAGCTCAAGGTTGCAAAGGCAAGAAAAAGTTCCTTTTTTTAGAAGAAGAAATTAAAATGCAGAACTCCTGGGATGGAGGAACAAGAAAAATGCTGACAGAGTGATGACACTGATGATAGATGTCGGACGAAAGCGACAAATAGGATGATGTTGAAAATCTGCACAACAAAAACCTAAATCCTACAATATTTTTCAAGAACTTTAGAAAAAAACAACATTCTTTTCTAGGAGCCCTGGGAAAATAAATAATTTCTATTGTTTTTTTTTTTAAGCAGTGCTAAACAATAGATATTTAATTACAACTTTAATCATAATGAATGCCTGTACAGTATCACATCATCAAAGGACATGAAACAACTGGTACTGTCACTGCCTTACAAATTGCAATGAGATTTATCTTTCTTTTTTTTTACAGATATACATTTTCAGAACAAAAAGCACCAAAATGTGTCCTTTTTTTCTTAAGTAATTAAAAGGTGCAGCAGCTCTATTTCAGCCAGCTGTCCTGGAGCTTAAATCAACAGGTGGGGGAGGGACATTGTTTATCCATCCATCCCAAAGAAAACTTAATTTATTAAGGCTACTCTGATAGAAAATGCTGGAACCGACGACCACCCCATGTGTAATGCTTACGGGGGCAACTGCCAATAAAATTTACTACAAAATCTGATCATTACAATATTTAGCAGCATTTTATTATTCAAATATTTAGGTGCATTTTGTTAGCTGGTGCTATTTTCACGCTAATTACAATACCTAAAAGTGATCTGCATGCTGAAATGTTGTGGTCTATGTTCATTTCTGTTGACACAAAAAAGAGGAGGTTACAAAAACAACCACAGTGAGAGATATGGTTATGGAGAAATCAGGTCATCAGAAGGCGTAGGTCTGTTGGGGTTACGTGGCTCACAGCCCGACACAAAAGCCGACTCTCCTCCTCCCTTATTGCTATTAGCAGTGCAAGCTGATGTTGGGTTAGGGAGGTGAAAGGGCGATCAGGACGCTTCAAACTCACTGGGTAGATAAAAGCAAGTCCTGACTTGGGAAAACAGAAAACCAATCAGGTTTTTCCAAACAAACTGTTTTTTTTTTTTGACTTTCAAAGATCCAGTTTTCTACTTTGTGCACCGCTTGTTTACTATGATATTTTTAGGTGCCGTCTCCTGATTTGTAGTTAGATCAAGCAGATCCTCCTGTCCTCAGAGGCCAAATCTGGCCTCAAAATTACAGGATGTAATGCAACTCATCCTGAGTCAGTATAGGAATAGATCATGGTATACCCACATGGCCAAACTATTCTGCTTTTCACATGAGACAGCCAATTCTTATTGGCTACACCTCCCTTTAAAAAAAAGGACTAAAGGAAATAGAGTCAGGGTCAGTGCTGATAGTCACCAGAGCTGTGCTTCCTCTACACCCTAGTGTCTACCGCCGTCTGCTTCTACAGCTCCAACAGACACAGCGACACACAAGCAGGGGCTGTCATGTCAAGGGAGGCGGCCCAGCCGATTGGCTTTGATTTCTCCCTCCCCTTTCCTGCCTGCTCTCTCCTATCGCAGAGTCTCTTTGCGCGTCATTTGATTTTCTTATTTAACAACCAACCCTGAAAATGCGTAGGAAGAAAGATGTCTAAATATAGACACAGCCACAACAGCTCTCACAACGAGCGCACAGCAAACTCTCCCCAACAGCATGAGGAGACAAATAAGAGTGACGCGTTTGCTTTTAGCTGATCATTACAGAAAAACAAAAAATAAAAACCCCAAGCTCCTGAAGAATCCCTGAGAACGTTTATTTAAGGGTATGTTTTAAAAAAATCCAGCTATTTCTGTTCATCTTGATCATTTTAATTTCAGTTGGCTGTGGTTTAAAATCGTACAAATTGCTGGAGCAACGCTGGAGGATAGGAACTGACTAAAGTTGGGAGGATGAAGAGCTGCGGTTAGGAGTAGCAGTGAGCTAGCATGAGAGGCAGACGGAGACCGAGCTGAGTGGGATTAACATGTGAGAAGTGAAGTACCAGTTAGCACTCCATTTGAGAGGGCCAGTATCATTATCCTCTCACAGGCAAAGACAGAAAAAACACACATGGTTCAAGAGGAACAATAAAGCTCGCCCTAATGAGAGAATAAAGCCAGTTCAAGCCGCCCTTGATTGCACTCCAGTGCAATATGGGGAACGATAACCCTGAGCACCACCAACTTCTGACCTTCTCATCCAGCAAATTAGGAATCAGCATCCTCAGTGGTAATTATATCTGCCCTGCTACCCAGCAGGAATGACAAATGATTTATCAACAGATATTTATACATTGTTCTGCACATGCAAATAAAATATATGATTTCAAGGATGAAGCAGAGAGTATAACCCTTTAGAAACCTATATGAATAATGAAGCCCAGTACTTCATTAAAAATATAACACCAGCTTCATTTTCTCCTAAATTGAAGCAAATCAGGATTCTGCAAAGACGATCCTCAGGGAGGCCAAAACCAAGAAGTGAAAGTGAGGCCTGTTGGAAAGTTGCAAAACAGAGTGCCAGTAAAGACATAGGAAATGAGGCAGTTGATCTTCAAAGCCACCCAATGATCATGA